ACTCAAAAAACAGTAAGCATTACAGAAATAAACACAAAATTTACAAACATATCTTTAAGACCTGTCAACACCTTGATGACTTTTACTTATCCCTGAAGCTTAATTGCATTTATCTTTCTGAATAATGAATATAAATACATGCACTGATTTGTGTGTGTGTGTGAGTCATTGTAAAAGAATTAGAGACATGACAGCCCAAGAGCTGTATGCTTTTCTAGCAACCACAATTGGCAGTTTAATGCTTTTGTGGCCTTTTTTCCGGCCATACCTCCCATATTCACTTCAAAGCTTCATTCAAAGTTACTGCCAGAGATGGGTGGGTTCTCTTTCCCCTTTCGTCCATGTTACCTTCCATGAGTTCATTGGAGAGCGACTGATGCGCAATGAAGCTCACTCTGCTATTCAGAACTATCTCAGCTCTAGTTCCTCCATGCATGCAAAGCGGCTCAGGGCTGAAATGACGAAGAGCAAGCAGTCCCTTATTCTCAGCATGGATGATTATGAAGAGATTACCGATGAATTTGAAGGAGCGAAACTCTGGTGGTATTCTGGTAAGTCTATTTCAAATAAGCAGCAGCCTTTTTCTCTCCATCCTTTTACAGATGAGAAGCGGCATTACAAGCTTACTTTTCACAAACAACACCGGGATCTCATCATAGGACCTTATCTGGATCATGTCTTGAAAGAGGGTAAGGAGATTGGGATCAGGAAAAGACAGAGGAAGATGTATATGAACCGTGATGGGATGTGGAGCTCTGTAGTGTTTGAACATCCAGCAACATTTGAGACGCTAGCAATGGAACCAAAGAAGAAGCAGGAAATCATGGAGGACTTGATCAGCTTCAGCAAAGCAGGAGAGCTCTATGCAAGAATTGGGAAGGCATGGAAGAGGGGTTATCTCCTCTATGGTCCTCCAGGTACTGGAAAGTCCTCCATGATACCTGCCATGGCAAATCTTTTAAATTATGATATCTATGAACTTGAACTGACTGTTGTGAAGGAAAACACCGAGCTGAGGAGGCTGTTGATGGATGTATCAAACAAGTCTGTTATGGTTATTGAGGATATAGATTGTTCACTTGATCTCACCAATCGGAGAAAGACAATAAGAGAGGAAAAGGAAGAAGAAATGAAGGATCCAAAGCAAAACCCTCT